TTTTTATTTAAATCTTCATTCCTCAATTTTGTCCATCGATTTCCTCAGTTTTGCGAGGATATATCGATGATGAAAACCGCGGATGAACACGTGATGAGCAACCTCAAATTTCACGAACGAGCGAGTTCGTTTCCTATCGAAGGGTGAGCTAAATTGCGCGTGAAATGTGAATACTATAACTCGCTGCTTGTTATCCCGGAAAAGTAAAAAAAAAAAAAAAGTGATTTCTCTGCCAAATTATGTTGTCGTTAAAGGAAGGAGAAATAACGCGACAGGTGTCTCACCAACGTTCAATCGATATATAAAAATCAATGATCGAATTTAGAGAGCTCGCCAAACTATTCCGAGGATCCAATTTCCGAAGTCATCGAGTCGGATTAATGTTCAGAATTATTTAAAGCCGAAGGAGAGAGAATCGGACGCACAATATAAAAAGTCGCGGTAATTAAAAAGTCTCTCGGGAGAGATTAGCTAATAAAGTAGCGGTCCTCCCACGGAAAGTTGGTGAGAAATTCGCAATGGCTAATTGCGTTTCTCCTCAAATCTTCCACTCTCTCTACCCGTATAATTGCTACGATGAACATATCGGTTTACGCGAATTTCGAGGAATTCCCCGCCGGAATATTCGCGGATATACACACGCGCGAATTTTTATTCCACATTCTTTTCGGAACTCCGTCGGCTGGAAATTAACGGCGAGAAAAAAAGGCGCGATCTCTAATTTAAGATCCCTCCCTAATCTCTTCCGCAATTAAAGTGCTACGTCACGTTCGTGAGAAAATTACGCGTAAAAGAATTCTCGTTAGAGTTCGTTCTCATTCTTTGCCATCTCGTTGGTCCCCGGACTGGCGTTTTAGCCTCCTCGCGCCTTTTTTAACCTCTCTCGCTCTTTACGGCGGCTCTTAGAAAATTCAACAAAGGACCTTAGGTACTTAGTACTTGAGTAAAACGGGTCAAATGTCGTCGCGTAAGAGTGATGACGTACGAGATATAATCGTTCTGAAACTGCTCTCGCGTTGTTAACTGACGATGGGCCGCTGAATATATATGAAAGCCTTCTCTTTGTTAAAATTCGATCGCGAGTGTATCCAAATAAAATGCAAATTGCTCGTCGAAGAAAAGTCATTAACGTGCCATTATCACGCGTAATTAGCGTAGCTGTTTTTTTTCCCCGATTGTCTCGATTGCCATTTGCGAAAGTACTTGAGTCCCCATGTGTTTTACTACCTTACATCTAATTAGCTTACATATATATATAATTGTTATATCTTAAATCTATTATTTTCGTTCGCACCATAAAATGTAAGTAATTTTATTTTAGGAGAAAGTAAGCGCTACGCGTGTGCCGGTCGAAAAAAATAGGCAAAAGAGAAGAGATTGAAAATGTATTTTGTGTTAAATAAAAAATATATACAAATCATAAAACATAATAAAATAAAACTAAAACAAACTCGCGGATGACGAAGTATTCATGCAGCAGTTTTGTGTTTGTAATTATATTTTGTTTTCACAAACTTTAAAATATTTCTCTATTTGTAATAAAAATACAGAATACTTTCATTTAACAAAATATATATTGTCCTTTCCTAGAAAACAAATCCGTAAAAAGTAGAAAAATAAAAATAAAAAAAAAAAAATAATTGTTTCTATTCCTCGCGGAACAAATACTTCGTCACACGCGCGAAAGTATAATCTTTCGACAAAGAGCTGTCGGGAATTTCACTTAACGCTAGAAATGCAGAAAACGCGCGTGGAGAAAAGTAAATCGGACACAAGAGAAACAGGAAAAGAAAAAAAAACAGAAGGACTTAATTCACAAGTGAAAAATCGACCGTGGCACGGGTTCTCGTGTAATGTCGCGTGAGAGAGCGGGCACAAGTGCGAGTATGCATTTCTCATTATATATACATATGACTCCGGACTCTTTTTGCTCGCCGGTAAAAAAAAACGGCACATTCCCGCTGGGGTTTCCTTACCTTTTCGGACACTTTGCGAGGTCCTCAGTGTCCCACGATCACAGCGTGTATGCGCCCGTTTGTTAATCTCTCTCTCTCGCTCTTTCTCCCAAACTGAGCCGATCGATCGATCGATCGATCTGTTCTTTTGTCGCTCGCTCTCTCAGATTTTTTTGTTCGTTTTCAATCGACTTTCTATTTCTCTCGCGCAGAAGCTCTCTATAGAACAACAGGAGATCTGCGTGAGACACACGATCGTGTATTTTTTGTGCTTCGCTTCGCTTTTGGTTATCCCTGCTTTTTCCGAACAGTAGCCGAACCAGCCGCGCACAACGGGCCGGATCGTCCAACTAGCGGATTTTCCAGCTCCTTTGTATGCGGTTCGTTTACTTGTCGTTCGACGATCGCATTGTTTCGAGCGCGTCCACCCCTTCAACTTCGTTCACTTTGCATCCGAGGCTGCGCCCGCCAACGCGAATCTTTTTCCGTTTCTTGTTTAACAAGACCGTTCTCGGAGGGAGGATGACAGTGGCGCAAACGAGAATTTAAAGCTCGACGCGTTTCAACAACGTGACGTTCCGAATCCGCGTTGGCAAGCAACCCCGAGATGCGTCTCTTTTTATTCGCTTTGGGCATTTTATTCGAGGATCCTCGAGACGAGGAGATTGGCAACGCTATTTTCTCGTATTTTGTCATTATTTTCGAGATCTGTCGCGAGAAATTTCGTCCGACGATTTAAATAGAAGAATGCGCGCGCGGTTTTAATATAAATTCGTGCTATCGCGTATCAAAAGATCGGATGATTTCCCCAGCTTTAATTGAGCCATTAAAGTCGCCGTAAGAAGGACCGACTCTGATCAAACAGAGACGCCACTATCGAACCGGAAAAAATCCAAAGAAGTAATCACTGACCGTGATTTAAGAATATAATCCTATTACGTCCGAAAAGCTATATAATGACGTCGGAGGAAAATGCGCCGGGGATCTTCTCGGAAGCAATTTCCCTCGCGTCGTTCTTTCGCGACGATCCTTTCAAAGTATGAAGAAAAGGGAGAAATCAACGACGACAAATCCCTTCATTAGCCTCACCGAGATATTGAATTTTAATTGAAACAGTTACCGAGACAGACAATCGAGATTCGCGCGCGATCGTAATATCGAACCATATAGGTCTTTGAGAAGTTGCCACAAAATTCTTATGGCATTTGATTGTCCACAATTTGACGTTCTTTGTCCGCCTTCCAAAAAATTCAAAATACACAAAATTTGAATAAATTTGATCGCGAGCTCAAAAAGTCAACAATCAATTTCATCATAAGCATCCCTAAGTGCGATTATTTAAAAATTACATGCTTATATGATAAAATTTATTCAAATTTCTTTTAATTTTTTTTTGCACGATGGACAAATTGTGGAGCATCGAATGCCACATCAATTTTGTAGAAATTCGCACTTTGGGCTGCCAACTTGACAAGATCATACATGTATTTGAAAGGCGCGAGTGTCAGTTAAACGAAGCTAAAGCTCACGCGACGCGTACGAGATCGGCTTCGAGACCGCCACGAGAAGATAACTAATCGAGTTGTTCAATTAGGCTAAACCGTTGTTGTTTGGTATCAGCATCGACGCAGCAGATGCTGCGGTTATCGCGGTGGCAGCCGAGAGCTATGAAAGCTGTGCGCGATGATCAAAGCTGAGAGCTGTCTGCATACTACAGAGCCAAGAGTGTCAAGATTTTCGGTGCGGAGAATCCAAATTATTACGCGCTATAGACAACCATTTTTCATTGCAAATAATCGCGAGATTAAACAAATTCATTTATCGACTTCAATTAATTTTATCAACTCATTAATTTTTATTATACGCTACAACGCATTCTTCTATTTTAAATACCATTTTAATGAAAGTGTAAAAATCTAGCATTTCGACACAATCGTTGCCATCTCGTTCGATCGTCTCGTTTATCCTCCAGTCGATCCGACGGAGCTTTACCAAATGCATGCGTATAATTATAGCGCGGAATACAATTAGCTCGACGACTACGAAGATAATTCCTTAATGAAGTAAACTTCAATTATGCATCCTCGTATAAGCGCGTACACGCGTTTCAAAAATGTATTACGGTATATAGGAAAAAAAGTAAAATAAATAAAAGGCGCGGATTGCTCGAGACTTTCTCCCGTGCCGATTTTCACCGGCCGATCAATCGAAAAGAGAATTTGTTGATCATTCGAGGCCCTCGAGCGGAGATCGAGCCTCGCCAGCCAATCGGAGGCTCGTGGACCACTCGACGATCCAATCGAGTGACCATCAATCAGCTTGATCCAGGCCACGAGAGAAATCTCTCCGACCTCTCTTCGCCATTCAACTCCCCATCTAGAGCCCGCGAAATTACCTCGCGTTTTGTTAATTACCGCGATCTAGTTGTCTCTCTATCTCTCTCGGACAAACGGCTCCGTCGAATCGCGAGACGGATTGTCGAATATCTCGAATCGTAGCCCTTTCGCGCGAAACGGAGATCTACGATTCGTCAATTCGACATCTCGATCGTATATCGCGATTTAAATCTAGTTTCTTATATATATCTACAACCTTCGCGTCGCGCGCGTGTCCATCTTCAATTTTGTTTTTTATATTTCAGAACGTAAGTAGAATTCACAATAAATTAACAGTAGCATATATCATTAATTATTAGTCCATAAATATTGGAGAAACTTTATTCAAAGTCGCGAAAGATGGACATTCGCCGACTCAAAGTGTCTTAAAACTATCTGGCGACCACCATATTTACTCGACTCGGAAAATCAAAAAAAAAAAAAAAAAAAAAATTGCACTTTAAGAATGAAAATCGCAAATTTATCGTGAGATTTGGAACGAGTCGAATTTGATATCGTGGTCGTCCATTTTAGTGCGCGCATTTTCTTTTAAATGCGCTCACTCAATTTTCCTGAAAGAAAACACATCTATACGAAATGGATTAATGACGATGTATATATATATGTATGTATATATATATAATTTAAGTATAAGAAAGTTCATGCACACCTCAATCTTTCTGCCCTCAACCACGGTGCCGTGTAGCCTCTCACGTGCCCGGTCCGCGTCAGCACTATTTGCGAATGTTACAAAACCGAATCCCTGCATGCAAGGACAGACAAAACAACATGCATTAAACTCAACTTACAGACTGCCAGCGCTTCGCAAAAAGCCGACTGGCTGGGCCGACATTTCGTCATTGCACGCGCGTGCACAAATAATACACGCGCGCGCGCTCACGCGCGTTATACGTGTATCACGTATATTACTATATATATATAATTATAGAAAATATATGTACACGTTATATAGGAATAGGGGAAGTGTACATATGTGGGGGATGCTCCGAAGGAGATCGCCGGGGCGCGATATCGGGGAGGGTGAGAATCATCCCCTCTTTCGTGCCACGATGATCTCATTCATTGAAATCAAACGGAAAAAAGAGCGCGTCCCCGTCGGTTTTATATTTAATATTATATATTATACTGTACTGTGTTTATCGAAATATATAAGAATTTTTATTTGCACGAAGATGTTAAACTCGCGTGAAAGAAAAAAACACACGTCTTATCGGAAGGTATAAAAAATGATGGGAATATTTATTTCCCCGTCTCTCGTTTATAGCTTTCGCTGAAAAAAATTATTAAAAATTAATATAAATATTTATTTCAATACTGCTTAATAAATCGTTGATTTGAAACTAATAAATATTTGTCTCGAAAAGGATTTTCTTATATGAAATAAACATTTTTCAGATCAAATATTAATATTATTAGTTTCAAATAAATGATTTATTTCGCGGTATTGAAATAAATACTTATTGGAATTCAATAAATTTCTTTTTCGGTGTTTGAATTTTCGCGAAGATACGCCTCTTTCTCGTGACGTCGAGCTCTTCACGCTTCTAATTTTTCGACAGATTTACGAGGCGAATATCGACGTATAAACGAGGTTTCGAACGGAGATGGATCTTCCATCGAGGAACTAGATGGAAAAGATGCAGAAAGCTCGATTCTTCAACCCGGCCGCGGGCGACACCGGCCAGCTCTTTTGTGCTCTATCTCTCTCTTTGAGCCCTTCCATCACCCTCGACAGCCTTTTATTTATTTCTTTGACGCATAATAGTCCCTCTCTTTCTCTCCGATTCGATTGTTGCGAGATATATATCGCGAGTACGCGTTAATTAATTTTCGAGCCTCGAGACGTGACAGAGTTTTTTGGACTTTCCTCAATTTATCTCGCGCTTCTCTTCTTTCACGAAAGTATAGACATTGATAGCTTTATTATTTCAAATACTTTTTGAATGAAATCGAAAACTCGATAATGCTTAGTAATGTCCGAGAATAAAAACCACGTTATTAAAATAATTAAATTAAATTGAGAAAAATGTAATTATTTTTAGGATTATATTAAAACGCGTTAAATCTTTAACCTGTTTAATTTAATTCAAATTAATATTAATGATCTCATCGAACAACATGTTAATCTCAAAAATTCGCAAAGTAAAAAAATGCAATTATGTCCGATTTTTCGGGTTTGGAAGGATCGAGAATCGTGTTAGAGCATCAAAAGAATCACGGATCAATTCACCGCGTCGGGTCAAGTTTCTCGTTAATTTTTTCGACTATTTTTTTTTTTTTGTATAGGATAGGGGCACTTTATTTCGAAATGTCGACGACCAGGGGGTCTGCGAGCGCCTCATACTGCTTACGGAGACGCACCAAACAACGTGCAACAAATAAGTAGATATAAAAATCATGGTAAGAAAATCATGGTCATGGTCACATTAATCATCTCATTATCATATCATATCATATCGTATCATGTCATACCACGGTCATCGTCATATCATTAAAGACTCTTGCTTGTATCGGGAGGTGCGTGTACGATTAAAAAAAAAAAAAAATAAATAAATATTCGATCGGAAGGGAGCAAGTTAGACACGCGTAGAGGAAAGTGTGAGGGACAAGGCGAGCAAGGCGTGTTGTATTATGTTTCTCAGTGTGTGTGTGTGTGTGTATATTCCCGTCTATGCGTATGAATTTTCACCGTCGAAAGACGACGACGTCGGCGACAGGAAATTGCGTGGGAGGCGTAAAAAGATTAGAATCGAGGGTGTCGTCGAGAAGGGCACCAAGAGACCTCGGTTCGACTCCGGAATATACGTAGAATATACGCGATATCGCGGCGAACTGAATGGTGAACTGAATGGCAAAGTTCCTAGAAAGAGAGAGAGAGAGAGAGAGATAGCACGTATCACGACCGCACGCTATCTTACGTCGCGGAAGAAGATGATTCCCGTCAAGGAAGGGCACGATCGATTGCGCTGCCTGCAGTCTAGTTTCACCTCTGAAAACGTGGCTACCATAAGATATCGCTCTACGATAACTCGCCGTCGATTTTGTTCCTTACGCTATCGCGCCGTGAGTTCTCTCTTGTTTTCCCGAGAGTTATCGAATATTATCGAGGATCGTACGATGCGGTTTCCGACGCTAAAAATTGCGGCGTTATCATCATGGAATTTTTAGCATAAAATTTGTATTACGTCTAAATAGATGATCGATCGCGCTGTCACGGGATATCAATTTCTATCAGACATTTCGCTATCACAACGCCTTGTCGATATTATCAAGATGACTTATATATCGTCCCTAAAATATGACTTACTATCCCTCGAACGTGACTTTATCGAAAAACTGCTCGAATACCGACATTACATATACATCGAAGGAAAGTACTATCAATCATACCGTCTCGTATGACCTTGCATAATTCTATATAGAAATTAATATGAATATTTATTCGCGAACGAATGTTCTCTCCCCAGAGTTCAAATCACGGCCTAATTTCTCCTAAACGATCCGCGACAGAAATTGCTGCACAATCGCGTCGATCTAAATAATACTGCGTCGTAAATTCGGGTAAATTCCGTAAAGTTCCGAGAGGTCTTTATATATCCGTAAGTGCGCGAGCGATCGAAATCGCGAGTGCTTTTATCGTTAAAAGGATTTAATCGAAGTTCGGGGCAAATCGAATTAACGGAATGGCAGCTTCTCTCCTTCGTTAGCGAGTGAAAAAGAACGGCGGGATAATCGAGTTTCCGGCGCTGATGTCCTTCTTCGCTCGCGCCATCCGTTTCATTCCCTTTTCCGAGCGATGAAGCTGTTGTTAGAAAGCGGTTACGAGCCGTGCGGAAGATCGCATTAAAACCAAATCAAGTATGGCATCGCCGGCAAACTTTTCTAATCAGGGACGAGAAACGACGAGGAATGCCGCGGAAAATGCGATTTATGAGTCGAACACGAGCTCAAGTTACGCTAAAAAGTCTCCGATATATTTTTAGATCGTCGAGGGGGTTTAAGTTTCCAGGAGTTCCTCTTTTAATAATCCTAATCGCTTCGCGATAATTCCGTAATTCTTTAAACGACGGCTCGTTAATCAAATAATAAATACATCCCGAGTGGAAAAATACGACCGTTTTAGATTTTCAGGGAAAACACGAGGAATCGGAGAGTCGTGTATGCCTACGTGTATATTTGCATCAATTACGAGGGCGAGTAACATTCCGTTTACAATTGTCAAACGCGCAGTTAAATTATAGTTGGAGGTCTCGTTCGAGTATAACACGCGGTTCAACATATAACAATATCAATTATTGCCGCTAAAGGAGAAGGATGCCTCTTCTCTCTCTCTCCTGCAGAGTTAACTAGATCCAAACAGCGAAGATATACACGGTAGATTCCTTTGTAACCGGAAATGGAGAACGATGTCGCAGGACAAGACCGGAGAGAGAGAGAGAGAGCGACTCTGGGGCGAATAATTAACAACGCGGTCCGGGAGCTCTTTGCACAGGTATCGCAGAATGTTGACACGGCCGGGTTTTTCAGCCATCGCTCTAACTAAAGTGTATTTAATGGCTGGCCGTAATTACGGCACGAATACCCGTATGTTTCTTGTCGAAATATTATTATTATTTAAGTAAAACGCGCGTGGAAAAGAAGATAAGAATATACGAGAATATGTGTATTCTTTATTCTCCGAATCGCGGAACAAAAAGCTCGGTGTACAAAATTTCATGTCTTTGCGCATAGAAGCGAATTTTAATACATCTCTGGTGAAGTTTGCGCTCTGAAATTAATTAGAGAATACGTAAGTAAAAAACGTTGTCTGGCGTATCGTGTATAAATCAGAAAAAAAATTCCACTGCAAATTTCTGTATTTCACATTAAGAATTCACCACGCGTGTCTGAAATTTTAACCATACATTTTCATGTATCTCTATATTTTTTTTCCCCCTGTTACATAATTTAAAAGGGAAAAAAAATCGTAACTCTCTGCGCAAGGTTGCTTAGTTAATATTTGTTCGTGAAATATTCGCGGACTCCGCTCGACTATACTTAAATAAAATTGCGATACGCGAAGATTTTGTGATCTTGCTCTCTCGCTCTCGACGACGATTCGCCTGGGAAATTATCGTGATGTTAATGATTCGCGCGAGCAAACGCGCCGATATTTTCAGGATCTCGGAGAGCAAAAATATACGAGCCTGTTCAAACCGCGGCAGAATTTATTTGCATATCTAATGCATACGCGACTTTTCCGCCGCATAACCATACATCTATCTCGGATCGTTAACAGTTTGCTCGATGCTGCTTGAATTCGATCGCCTCTCGTTTTAATATTTTGGTATAATCGCGGCAGCGTCGAGGCAAGAAGGCGGAAAAGAGGAATGATGTAATATTCCAATCATTTCGTCATTACGAGAATATCATTACCATAATATCCGCTTAATACGAGAAAATCTGTGTCGAAAATCTAACTGTGCACGAACATTACCGGATAGATATCCTGTCGAAATCTGTGATTTTTCCTTCTTACAAAGCTCAATTTAAACGACATAAGATTGATTTAGGTACCATATATATATATATTCGATTAAAGTTTCTCGATATCGCACGCTCCAAAGTTATTAGACTATTTTTACAGCAATTACTTTTTAAATAAAATTCTATTTTCTTTCAGAATTTTACACGATCAAACTATGCAAAACTTACGTGCACTTTATTGCACTTGTCTAAAGACGATAATATCGATATATAAAA